TAATTATAGATATTTATGATTTTTTTACAAGCTAAAATTGATTTGTACATAAATTGGAAGCGAGATGTTTATTTTTATTCTTTATTAAGATGTAGAGATGATTTAAAATGCATAATGTTTTATAGACTACGTATTTTATTCCAATTAGATGCTTATATGTATTGTTATTGAAAACTTTAATTAAGTATGATGTTGTTGGAACATTAATTATTTATGTGTGACTTAGATGAATTTAAAACTTTAGCACTTATTTATAATAGTGTAATATTCTAAAATTGAATATTTCAGTAACTTACTATATATATTTTGATGAGATTCAAACTCATTAGCTTGATAGAGACTGTTAAAAATATTGTATGATCTATTTTTTTTGAAAAATGTTATTGTTAGTCTAATACTTAAAATCAATATGTAATGTTTTTCCTTATAATAAATGACATAACAAAATGTAAAAACAAAAACAAGAGTTCATCGAAATTCATTACTATAACAATAAAGATTAAATGTTATATAGAAGAATGACCATATAACAAAGACATAAAAGAAAACTATCTAAAAGAGGAGCTCAGAAAAAAAAAAAAGGAAAATCAACACATTTAAACAATAAATATTATTTTAAGGATGAAATTGGTATCTATGCAACATTTGGTTCCGTCAATAAATAATACACATAACATACAAATGTTATATAACTTAAAAAACATGTTCAACACTATTATAAACATATGTATAGTAATGTATATTATACTTTGCAATTAATAAATATAAATTGTATAATTAATGACATTACAATATCATTACCTAATAATACAATATTATAATATTTAAAAATATATATACACATAAGCAATAACGTTTATATTTACGTCAGTATGTCAGTATATATAAGGATTCTGATAAAAGAAAATCTTAGGAAAATTTTTATTTTAATACATGTTACAAAAGGAGTTAAATATTTTTTAAGATACATTATTATTTTTCATTGTTTTATTGTTTGAGAGAGAAATTAAGTAAGAAAATTTGTTTATATTCTAAAATTTTATATCTCTTTGTTTTCCGTTTTATTTATTTTTAGAGTTAGAGTGAAGATTAATATTTTATTTCTTTCTGTAAAGTAAGATTATTGTAAATTACGTGTTCTGTTAATTTTGTTTTTGTTAGTTTTTATTTATTATTCTGACATCAATGACTTTGGTGATCTTACTGAAGCACGATAAATTTAAATAACGTGTCATTTAAATGATTAAACATGATTAAAATATATGTCGAAATTAACTCTTTCTACAAAATTTATATTAAAGAATATAAACAATCTAAACATATTGTTTGATATAGCAAACAAAGCTATGTATTTTGGTCGGATCTGGTGTGACCCTGTTAAAACATTCAAGAATTTGTCGAAGACGGGCGGACGTTGCTGAATCCCACGAACTGAAGCAGATCGATCGGTTCCGGTGCTAGAAGGATGGTACTAGAAGCTGGCGAAAACCGGACGGTTACCTCTTTTTTGAGGGCTGGACGCGCTGGGAAGGGCCGAAGGGGCTCTCTCGTCTTCAAGTCCTGGTTGTAGTATTCGTTCTCTCTCCTCGTTCTTTAAACCGGGCAGTCGGATACCTGTCAAAGGCACTCCGACACTCAAGTCAGTAATATGATAGAGCGATCTGTAATGCGTGTATATATTGCATCGTAAAAAATCTGTCTAGAAATCATACATGGAACCTTTATTTATACTGATTGTAATGGGCTTTTACCTTTCCTGATAACGATCCAATCATACCTTAATCTTCATTAAGGGCTTTAATGAGTCATTAGTGTTTAACCGTGTAGTCGACCTGGGTCGGTCGGGACGGCCGGTCATAAGGGGTGGTTGGCCAGGGACGTCAACCTGGACGGGCGACCACTTGGTTTTGCTGATCGGTCAGCTTGGACGCTCGGTCTTGACGGTCGACCCGGATGGACGACCTTTGGAGGATCGCTCATTCTATGTACGATCGTTCCAAAGACAACATTTGCTTCGACGTTCAGTCTTGATGGTGACCTTGGTGGATGACCTTGAGATAACCGTTCGATCTGTCTTTGAAGAGTCGTTCGATCAGGAGGACGGTACGGTACACTATGTATCAACGTTCTACTGATTTTGATTTTAGAACAAAATCTCAAATATAAATAACGTTTAAAAACATAATTGGGAAAACATGTTTTCAGAAGATAGTTAAATATATTTTTTTTAAATTATTCTAAAAAAAGACTAACAGATAAAATATAGAATACAGAGTCATTTAACAGCTTAACTCTACTAAAGATGAGCTTAAAAAATTGGTAAGGAAAAAGATTAAAGTCTCAGTAATTGTAATTGCAGTGAGTTGGCAGAAAAATGGGTCTGCTTTGATTATTCTGGCATGTGAAAAAGTGTACTATTTTCCTGGACTCATTAAACTATAGCGTGGTCCTCTCTTTTTTTTTTTCTGTGCTATTTTTTCCTTGCCTCATTAAGGAGTTTGGTGTGATGGTTGGAAGGCTCGTTTTAATGTTCATACTTTTATATTTCTACTAATTTATTTTATTATTATATTATTATGAAAAAGAAAAGACAACAGACAAAAATAATTTGTCTAACAAACATGAAGATGAACTAAGATGAAAGTTATTTTAAATATTAACTCTAAGTATGCAACATAATTTTCAGATAAAAAAAATTAAGTGAATAATGATTTTAATAAAATTGTATAAGCAGTTCTTCATACACCTACACTTTTGTTGTTTCTTCAGCACCTCTAAAAAAATCCTATTATATCCTTTTCCTTAATAAGCACCAGCGTTTAAAAATCCTATTATACCCTTTTCCTTAATAATCACCAGCGTTTGAACGCCTGTCAACACTTTACTGAATTTGAACAATGGTTACGATTTTTTTATATTTCTTTTAATTTACTTTTTTTATTTTTTTACTTAATAATAATAATAAATTACAAAATAAAATTTAATATTTTAAATTAAAAAAAAATTAAAATAGTATTAAATTAATAATTTTATTTATTTTAATTCAGTAATAAGTAAATATTTTTTTATCTAATAAATATTTAATTAAATTTATATTTTTCATATAATTAAATATATATGACTATTTTAATTTAAAAAATATTATTTATTAAACAAAAATAAATAAAACATATTAAAAAATTAAAAACAAAAAAAAACTTAAAAAAATGTTAACCGTAAATACCGTTAACATTCAATTTTGAATTATTTATATGTTAACCGTTTTTCCGAGGTTAATATTTTTTTAAGTTTTAATTTTAATTCTATAATATGTTTTATTTATTTCTTAATAAATAATATTTTATAAATTAAAATATTAATATATATTTAATTATATAAAAATATTAAATTAATTAAATATTTATTATATTAAAAAATATTTTTTTGATTATTAAATTTAAATAAATATTTTTTAATTTAGTTTTTTAATTAAAAATATTAAATTTTTAATTCTTTTAATGTTTGATTATTATTATTACAATTAAAATAAAAGAAGTAAATTAAAAAAATTCTTAACTGGTATTCTAATGTTATTAAGTAAAAAAGAAAAAATTAACCCCGGTAGGTAAAAAAAATTCTTAACTATCAGTTAAGTAAAAAACGTTAGAATATTAATGGTTATTAATGAAAATGATAAAATAGAAATTTTTGGAGCTGTAGGAGGAAATACGATGAAAGAGAAAAGATATTTATAGGTGGGTGAAGAAAAATATGCAAAAGCGTTTCCATTCGTCAACTATGAAAGAGTGGCAGTGAAGAAAGAAAGATGAAATTCCGAGCATCTGAACATATAGAAAATGATGAAAAGCAGAGGACCAAGCCAACCCAAGACAAAGCAGAAATATTATGCACAAAATCAATATCTGTGTAATTCAGGTCCAATTAATTTTTCGTTTTACCGTAGAAAGATGTAAATTAAGCTTCACAAGGTTGTAGGCAGCTTACCCAGGGATAGAACAATCAAAATATTGAACAAAACATAAAGCTACAATAGCATGTAGCTTAAGCTTCAAACCACTCGTATTGTGTCAAATTCTAGCGAGGGTATAACTCAGTAATTGAAACCTCATTTACCGAAGATTGAGCTGGTTTATTCGTGGATTCAGTCGATCCTGTTTTCTCTGAATTAAGCTCACCCGACAACATGTTTGGATAGCTTCTTGTGCTACTATTGACAACAAATGCAGGTTCTGAAGGTATTGGGAGAGAGATAGAATAACTATTAAGCATGAGTACTACAGAAGCCATGGTTGGTCTGCTGGTCATATCTTCCTGAACACACAGTAACCCAATGTGGATACATCTTATCATTTCATTTCGAGAACCCTTCATTAATGTGGGGTCTACAATATTTGTAATATTTCCATTCTTCCAGTTTTTCCATGTCTGCATTAATTCCTCAAATGCATGTTCGTTACTTCACACGTTTCATTTGTACAGTTATCTGAAGAAACAAATAATTTTCTGATAAAGGAGAGGGAAAATACAGTGAGAAGAACAAAAAGACTTACAAAGCTCAATAGATCCTCCACTGTCTCCCCATGACGAGCACCAATGCTTTTTCGCCCACTTACAATCTCAAGAACCATTACACCATAACTAAAAACATCTGATTTTGCTGAAAAATGACCATATACTGCATACTCAGGAGCCATATATCCACTGCGTGCCAACCAAATGCACATTTAATTACTCAAAATTTATGAAACTTCAATGTAAATTATTTTACTTTACAGTTGATTGAAATTAAGTTTGTACAACAATTACATTATATTCTCTCACTTACTAGGTTCCAACAACTCTGTGTGTATTTGCTTGAGTCTGATCCACCTGAAACAATCTTGCCATCCCAAAATCTGATATCTTAGGATACATGTTTTCGTCCAAGAGAATGTTGCTTGCTTTTAGATCTCGATGTATAATTCGTAGTTGAGAATCCTCATGGAGATAGAGAATGCCTTTTGTAATACCTCTAATTATTTGGTAGCGCATTTGCCAATCCAACTGTGTTTTCTTTATTGGATCTATATATACATACGGAAACCAGATGAATATTACAAAGCAATATTTTAGTTGAGTCCTTAAATCAAAACTAGAACAATAGAGTAACAGTCTAATAATGCAGTTGTTCGAGCTTACCAAATATGAAGTAATCAAGACTTTTATTAGGAACAAATTCGTAGATAAGGAGCCTTTCACTTCCTTCCAAACAGAAACCAATCAGCCTCACTAAATTTCGGTGTTGAAGTTTGGCCAATAAAAGCACTTCATTCTTGAACTCCGTATCTCCTTGCCCAGAATTACTTGACAACCTTTTCACAGCAATTCCTTGTCCATTGGAAAGCTGACCCTGAAAATATATCAGTGAAGGATGGTAAAATATCTGTGGGAGAAAAATCATGATGTATTATATTTTGATGATGGTTTTAACCGAATCAAATCATGATCTTACTTTGTATACAGCTCCAAACCCGCCCTGTCCAAGCTTATTAGAATCAGCAAATTCATTTGTGGCAATTCGGATGGTTTCAAATTTGAATTGCAATGACTCAGTAAATGTAACTTCATCTTCATCCTCACTGTCCTCTTCTTTTCCAACTTCACATGCATGAGGACAGGGGTAATATTAGTGAGTATTTGAATATAATAAGTGAATACAAGAAAAAAAAAATAACAGAAAGAGATAATTTTCCAATAATGAAAATTAACAGGAAATGGCTAAATATATTTTCCCTGTTACCTGGTCAGAAATAATTTGATGAACTAAACAAAATTTGAAGAAAGGAATCATTTATATTTTTTTTAGTTTAATTAGTTATTTAATCATGTTATCATAAAAAAAAAATATCAAGCTAATCCTTTTTTTTAGTTTTAATTTGTGAACAATTAATGCAATTTGTTTTTTATTTGTGAAAATTTTATGTAATTTGGTTTTTCTTGTTAAATTTCTTGAAACAGATCAAAGATTTTTCATTAAAATTGAAGTTGTTAATAAAAATAATTTATTTTATTGATATAATTAACATTTTTGTATTGTTAATATAGACCAAATTACATCAATTTTAAAAAATGGATGACAAATTAAAAATAAAAAATCAGAAGAACTAAATTCTGTCTTTTGTATTAAAACATGGACCAAATAACTAATTAATTTTCTTTTTTAATATGACAGGAAATCGATTTTTGGAGCATTAGAGACTTACTTTCAATTTGTTTTCTTGGCTTCCTAACTATCAGATATATGCAAAAAAGACTGAGCGCTAAAACAACACCAGCAACTGGCACTGCTACAGCGATGATGGTTCGTGACGTGTTGCTGTTTCCTGTAGAAACCAGAATCCTCGGTCACGAATTTAGAATAATAAAATATCCAAAGTCCAACATGAGCCTAAATTTTAATATAAAAATAAAACAGCAGTTAAGAGAGAGGAAAAAGTGTTGAAACAAAGTCAAAAGTGTTGTGGAAGAAAACTTTTCCATAAAGCTTAAAAAATAAATAAATTAATAAAACCAAGTTCTCAGTACACTAAAAATTGAATAAAAAATTATCTATAAGTACGTCAATTTAATTTATAAAAAATTGATTTATTTTACGTACAAACTTTTATGCATATGCTTTTGGTTAAACCCCTTTAAGTGAACTTGGGAGAATTTTTGTGCTGTTTTATTGTATTGGATGAGGAATAAGTTGTGAATAGAGAAGAAGAATACCTTTGGAATGTAAAGAAGTGTTGTTGGCTAAGCGAGAGGGTTGTGGGGTGGTTGGTGGTGGTGGTGCATCTGGGTCTAACTTGAGTGTAGGTCCAAAGAATATATAAGGGTCAAATCTAATTCTACAACTGGGCTTCAAAACATTGCCTCCAGCCTTGCCCTTACAGCAATCTGGGATTTTTGAGATAGATTCTTC